AGAGATGTACCGACTGTAGGTCTGGCCGACTAACCGACTAGCCGATTGTTCGGCCAGTAAAAACCGACTAGTCGGCCGACTGTTTGCTTAAACCGGTTTATAAATGCGACAAACAGTGTGTTTTTTTTTCTATTTCTCTGGCTACCTTAAAGGTTTGTTCTATTTTAATAAAAGGAATATCTAAAGTTCCTTTGTTTTCCAAAAAATGTGTTAAATTTGTTTGGATAATTTTAACATTTAATTTTTTTTAGTAACTCAGTACAAAAATAAAGAATAACACAATTTAGGGCCAGTTTATACAATATTTTAACTGAGTTTAAATTGAACGTGCATTTAACAAGGCCATTAGCGACGTCTGATTGGCGTAGAGTCGGTCACATGATACGCGGGGTTAAAAATTAAATCGCAATTAAATATTTAATTGAGGTTCTGTAAACCGGGTTTAATTGTTTTATATACTGTTTTAATTTTAATAAAAAAAGCCGACCGATAGGCTGTTTGGCCGACTAGTCGCCGACTGCAGCCGACGATGAAAAACGGCCGAATAGTCGGCTTATCCGACCGGTCGGCCACTAGTCGGTACATCCCTAGTTATTACACTTCTTTTCAATTTTTGGAGGATATGCAACTGCATATCTCTGCATATATTAATAAAGTTACAGCATATTTGCATAAATTTCATGCATATTACATGATCATATTTCTCAAAATTTTGCTGCATACTTTTCGCTCTCTAGTCATGTATTATTTTTAATATAACAGCAATATGAATGTACCCTCTGGATTTGAAACAAAGGCCGGTGACATCGTCAAAATTATTTGATTTATCAAAAAACTTTGTGGACCAGTTTTCTATGATTGCGATCGTACTTATTAAAGATTTTTATTTTTAAGACGTCAAAGCCATAAACGCCTTATAGGTTTGAGGAAACTATACAAAAAAAATTATTTACAGCACGGGAATACATTAATTACATCGGAAAAATGTCACGTAGACATTTGTTTGATTTGAATGAGTTTATCGCCCCAAAACAGATGACCAAAATTATTCATAAGCCTCCATTGAACAAAATATTCTGAATGTTATTATTACAATTCTTACGTTATCATTATTTTATTGTTATAAAGACGAGCGTATTCTCACACTTTCCAGAAAATAGGGTAGCTCATTCTTAATTTGATCAATTAAAATTGACTGATTTATTAATTTTTTTGAGTCACCTGTTTAAGCAAGTCTAAAAAATATGAATGCAATGATTAAAAGTCTGTTCATATTTTGCACATTTGCGAAAGAATTTATTCGGCAAAATTTTGAGATACCGTAATCAATTTTTTGGGGTTGATAAACAGATACATTTTCATTAAAAAGTTACCATGCTTAGAATAACAAAACGCCAAGTCTTGTTTTATTCAATAAAATAAATTGACTCAGTCATTAATTTTTTTCACACACCCCGCATAAGCGAATCTAAAAAATATTTACGCAGTGATAAATCAAATCAAATTTTGGGGTGGTGATCAATTATTTAGGAGGGGATGAGTAAATATATTTTGATAAAAAATTTACCATGCTTATGATAAATTTAAAAAAAAAAACACCAAGATTTCAAAGCATTTGGTTTTGTACTTCCTGATTAAATCAATAAAATAAATTTACGCATTCATTATTTTTTTTGAGTCACCCTGTATATGCAAATCCAAAAAATATAAATGGAATGATAAATCACAAGTATTGTTTCATCATACTTTGCACATTTAAGATAGGAATTATTCAGCAAAATTTTGAGGTGACGTCATCAATGTTTTAGGGGGGGGAAAAGTAAATATATTTTGAATAAAAACTTATCAGGCTTATCATAACTGTAAACCATCTGCAAGATTTCAAAGCATTCGGTTTTGCAGATTCCAAATTACATGTCAAAATGTTGTTTCCTAATTTTGATTTTTTTCCAAAAATCTGGACGTTTCGGGTAAAATCTCAATGTAGTCATAAAGTACATGTGTAATACTACGTTATTTGATACAATTTAAAACCCAGTTACTATGTACAATTTTGAAGTGACGTCATCACATTAGTGGTGGGGATGATTAGACAAATTTTGGTTAGCGTTTTACCATTTAAATAATATACCTAATATAAATACAAAATTTGACAACAATCAGCCGAGGACTTTCGGAGGTTATCTGTCTAATAAAAATCCGGGACGGCAGACAGACAGACGGATAGACGGACAGACGGAAACGGGAGATCTATTTCTTCGTCCTCTAGGGGTCAGGATAGATCGAGAAAATGCAAAAGTAGAGAGTTGGCCGACGGACTCGATTACAATACTGAGTCATCAAAATTGATTGAGAGAGTTGGTACTCCGTGTTTTTGGCGTGAAGTTTGTCAACCTTATGACAGATTTGTTTAAGGTTATATGGCAACGAATCCAGTGGCGTGACAAGAGAACTGGGTTTGATTGTCGAACTCACCTAAATCAGTTGCGAATACGAAAGTTACCTTCTTGCAAAGTTGCGAACGGTTTTAACGTTGGTACGAATCGTCTTGGTCGATGCGCACCCTATACCTTATTGCTACTCGCATCTTTGCGAACAAATTCCAGAAATGAACAAATCTAAAATTCGAAATTTCAAATCTGACAAATATTTTTTACAAAAAAAAATCGAAAAAAGACGCCACTGGGTTTTGAAATTTGAAACTTGAAACTTGAAACTTCAAATCTGACAGCTAATATTTTTATACAACTTAATAAACCAAATTATTCAAGTTCAGGTTTACCAACTCTCTCAATCAATTTTGATGACTCTGTACTTTCTTTGCTTACGCTCGGGAAGTAAAAAGAATTTAAAAAATTTTAAAATTTGGTATGAATATTGCGTCTTGTGTCATCTATTGGGTCTAAAATCATATTGTGTTTGTATTCTCAGTCAATTTTCTAGGATTCTTGCAAATTGTATTGTACTGCTTCTTTATATGTTTGTTTCCTCCATAGTTGTTTATCCATTTTTGTTTTATGTTTTTTAGTAAGTACATCTTTTGGCTTTTGCTTCGTGTTTCTGATCGTTCCGTAGAATAACTTTTGGTTTTCTTTATATACTCCTGTCATTTTCTCACAGAGGTGCTTCCATGATTTTCTCTTTCTTGTTTAATTTTTTCTACTTTTTGTATTACTCGTAATTGTGTGTGGTTTTGTTTCCTGTCTAGGTTTTCTATTTTTGTTTCTTATTCTTAATTTTTTTACATTTAACTGCGTTCCCAGAATAAATTTTGCTTTTCCAAGATTTTTTTGAAGTCCTGTTAGTATTGGTAGAATTAGAATTGCACTTAGGCTTATGCCGAAAATCGAACATTTCTTTATTCATGAGGAATTTCGACTGTGCTCGTTGACATCCAAAAATACAAATTCAAAATAAATTAACGCTACAAAATCAATTATTTCTTATAGAAGTTTATGTTTTCGTTTTTGTTAAACCTGAATCAGGACGGAAAGTGCATATTACCTGTTGAGATCAAAGAAAGAGGACCCAGGGTGCAGATGCATACCGTCTAATGTTACTCTAGATCCCAAACATCTAGTAACCGTGATACTTAATTTTTTTCATCATTGAAAACAATGAGTAATGCTATAACATGGATTCAAAAGTTTTAAAGAACAGTGCAAGGTATCAAATCTTAATAACATCTTAATGATCTTAATGAGGTCGTTTGTCTCACTGAAGAATTCGAAGTAATACGAAATTTTATATATGTGTTTAATTTGTTAAAATATGTATGTAGTAATTTTCTTCGGTCACTGGATGCGTGATACCCCACAGCATCCAAAATACAAAAATTGTCGACGCAGTTTGTCAACAACGTTGGCATTATCTAGACTAAACTAAACTACGCTAAATCTTATCTATCTACTCCTCCCACTCTCTCCGCTCCCTGACTCCACAAGAACGTAGAGGGGGCATGCGTTCGGGATGGGCTCGCGATCTGAATTCGTTACTTTTGTTTTTGAATATTTCTAGACTTTCGTGAATGTCGAGAATTTTACAATTATCGCCAGACCTGACTAATTTTAAATCATTTATATCTGTTCTGCAGTCGTTCTCAAAAATATGTATGTTGAGCAAGGCTTGATTTTTCATACCTTCACAATTTGAGATGAACATGTGTTCTTTGAATCACGTGATGATTGACCTTTTTATTTGCCCAATATATTCCTGAATACAATCTTTATTGTTTATTTCATCAATCCTTGACTTTTCCTTACGCCTTACTTTAGCCTTAGGCTCTGTTTAGAACTATTAATGCCGAGTCCTCTGAAATTTTTTTCTAGCTTTTTGTTACTGACAGGATAAAAAGAATTGTAGCCAAAAACGTCTTATCTGGTGTAACGAAGCAAATTTTCGGACGGACCGCGAGCCAACAATGCTACCGATAAACCGGTAACTTACTAGCAACCGCGCCGCGTCGCCCCGAAAGAGGGGAAGAATTGAGAGTCGTCGTGCGTTGGCCCTCGAGAAGAGAAGGAAGTAACGTGAAAAGACTAACGAAAGCTCATTGCTATCCTAGGACTAGTTCTTGATGGTAGGTGTAATCACTTGAGTTTTACATTTGTCAGTACCAAAACACATTCTTGCGCCTGGAGAAAACTTTTTCTTCGTACTTGCATATAACCTTGTCTTTGATATTCAGCAAGACATCAAGAGACTTAATTTTATCCCATTTTGGCGATTGATTCTGAGGCGAATATCAAGTAGTGCCCAAAGGAAAGCTCATTAAAGATATTTCTTCTAATAACTATGGCATCCAATTTAGTTGCCTTCAGAAACTATGCTGAATCATGTTTGAGGAAAGAGCAAATTTTAAAAAATATTTTGCTTTATTGCTTGCATATAGCATCACAGTAATCGTCTCCTGGTAATAACCAGGTGTCGCTTTTGTAAATGAACATAAAACTCAGTGCCATGTCAAACAAAGATTTTATTATAATTTTCTACATAAAATTTTATCTAATTTCTTCATTGACACGGCTGACACGGCTGCCATGGCTGACAAAGCTGCCACGTGATATAGTCGACATTTCTCTGCGCCTCTTTTTCTCTGGCGGTACGTTCCATGACTTCAGATAAGTTTTCCCAAAAATTGCGAAAATCAAAGTCGTTACAAAACCTCCTAGCAACATTTCATAAAATAGTATTCTGTACTCCGCGCGACTCCTCTGTAAGTTTACATTTCTTCGTTAAGACTAAATAAGAATTTATCACTTACTTTCTTTGTTTGACCAGTCACAAATATTTCGAAAATTATTGAAATAAGGTTGCCAATAAAATTCGAAATCCCTGTTATGAATCCAGCATAATTAGGTGAGAGATCTAACGGTATTAGTCTTATTCCAGACATAGTACATCCTTCTAAGGCCAAGGCGAGGACGAGCAAAATTTCTGCTACAACTCTGTCACATCGTGCAAAGCCAGCCGCTAAGAAGTAAATGGGGCATCCGAGGACACCTATACAATAGATAGAATGTACGGATTAAAAACTTCATGCAACAGAAAGCTACAGTCGAACGACGGAATCAGTACGGTTGAAAGTAGCGACAGGTTGGTTACCGCGTTTGTCACCTTTCGGGAGGTGCAAGTTCTTTTACGTTCTAGAACGAAAAAGTCTGACGTTCTAGAACGAACAAGTGTTTCGCGGTGATGTGACAAAAAAGAATCACTTTCCCCACTAAAAATTTGACGAAAATGTCAACATTTGTTGACAGTTTTCGAAAAAGAGTATATTCGTTTGAAACATACTTAATTCTAGCTTTATAACGTAAATTCTTTTTCGTATCTTTTCAATTCGATTAATATGGATAGAGCAATATGGCGACCAGATCACACCGCAATAATCTAAAATAGATCTAACTAGTGACAAGTATGGAATATTGATGACTCGCACAGAAGTGAAAGTAGAAGTCATTTTTTGAGTCAAGCCAAGTGTTCTGTAGGTGATGATGATGATGATGTCTAAATCCAATTCAAGAATTCATCATGGGCACTTAAAGTATTTACATTTTCTAATATTACATTGTCAAAATAGTAACACGGCTCATTTTCTAAATCTATTCGTTTCAAAGAGAACTGCGTACATTAAACTTAAATTTAAATCCGTACTTTTGGCAATGCTCCTAACACATAAATTACAAAGATTAATTGTAAATTAGCGACGCTAGTCCTATTAAATCTTTCATAAAACAGTTTCAAATCATCGATATAACATAAAAATTTTACAGTCATATATTCACAGTTGTCGTTCATATACAAAATAAAAAGTAGTGGGTCCATTTGGGAGCCTTGCGGTACACCTGGACTAACTACAAATTTTGTAGACAAACAACTGTCTGTTTTTATGATTTGGTTTCGTTTAGATAATAATGAAGAAAATATAACAATATAATCGTGGAAAGTGAGGAGTGATAATCACTTCGGATAATTCAGTTCACTTTCCACTATTATTTTGTCCGCAACAAATCTATCGTGAGTGAAAAGCTTTATTAAAATCCGTGTAAACAACATCAACTACAAAACCTTTTTCTAAAGAAAAAATTAAATATTTGGTGAAATAAAAAAAAAATAGTTACTGTGAATCTTAAAGAAACAAAAGTTTTGTAATAAAAGTACCAAAATTATACAACTCGAAAAAAAATAAATTTTGGCCTTGAGGTGTGTTGTGTTTTCAAAAGTGCGTTCAAGCGGTGAACTCCAAGAATGGAAAATTGACTTTAAATCAAAATGCAAAATATGGAGGAGACATAGTTTGTTTCACCTTCTCGGGAAGGGGAAAATATTTCCCCAGCTTCCAGAAACCAAATATTACAAATCGATACAATTCGTTGAATATCACAAATTTACCCTCAAAAAAAAGAAAAATCTTAATTAAAGTAAATAACTAATGGTAATAGCAAAGTTATTATGATGATGTGGCGGCAGATTTAAATACAAACTAAAACAAAGATTTAAGTCCAGGCCATTTCCATTCCTCGGTGTAAATTTTGGAAAATTGCTGGCTGTAAGGTCTTTTTTTCGGACTTTAGAGCAAAAAATAGGGAAAAACTTAACTGGGCTTAAAACGTTATCAAATTCTTTTACATAAGTCTTAAAGAACTTAAACGTAATGATACGTAAAAATGTAACTTTGTTTTTTTCTTTAATAATTCAGAGTTATCCCCTCTATAAATAAATAATAATAATCACTAAACTCAAATCTCGCCTTTATCAAACGCATTGAACTAAAAACCCAAGCAGCAGAGCATAATAACCAAGGTTACTTTTTATCAAGTTAACAGATAAAAATGTCCTGGACTTTATATCGGGAGTTCAAGTTATAGATCATAGTTATTGGATCGATGTCTCCGACCAAGGCGATCGAGCTTTCTGCATTATATTGAGTTTCGAGATTCGCGAGCTGCAGCACACAGCACATCTCGGAACACGATCTGTTATATTCTGACAGCAACTTCACGACCTTCGAGTGGTGCCGGGACGGGAGAACTGTTTACCCCACGTTGGCGTAGATACTCGTACTCTAATAGAAGTTAGAAAGATAACTATACAACTTGAACTCCCCCTACTAGCGATGTTGCAATTGACTTCAAATCGTTCATTTTATTATCTTTTATCAGCAAGATCTTTAAACAACCCAGAATTTATACGATGTTAAATTGCACGTGAACTCAAGTTATCGATTAATTCAAAATGTGTTCATCAAGATCACAACGTAGACCGAATTTTTACAACACAAAAAACAAAGCACGATGTAATTAACATAGCAGGCACGAATTAAATACGATCAAAATCAACATAAGTTGGTCCAGGAAATGCTTCGCTCTGGAGAAGCGTGCTTCGAGAAGTATAAATGTTCAAATTCAGACTGTAAGAAAATAACACATAAATGCAATACAAAATAAACACAAAATACCCCTCTCAGTACTGCTTCACCTTCTAAACTACCTAAAACACCAACCTGAATATGCTAAACATGGATTGTCCACGTTATTGGAATAATTTTGATTTTTACTTCCCGAGCGTAAGCTAAGGAAGTATACCTTAGTAATCGAGTCCATCGGACGAAGTGCCACATTTATGTTTTCTCGATGTTTCATGACCCCTACACTACGAAAAAGTAGTCTCCCGTTTCCGTGTGTCTGTTTGTCTGGTGTCTGTCTCCATTTTTATTAGACAAGTAATCTCCGAAACTGCTGGACCGATTATTGTCAAATTTTGTATCTATATTAGAAATATCATGTAGATAGTTAAATACTACCTAAAATTTGGATAATCGTCCTCACCAACAATTTGATGACGTCATTTCATTGAATTGTATTTTAAAATAATTTTAATGTTATATAAAAATATACTCCTATATTTGTAGTGTACGAAACCGCTTTCAGTTTTTTGCTAAATGTTCAAATTTTCGCAAAAATAATTCCAAGGTTCAATACGCGTATATTACCAACACCGAACAGGAGTCTGCGTGGGGTAGATGCAAGTTGAGACCTCGGAGACGGTCAGCGAATCCTTGCGACATTGTGGTAATGGTTCGATGCCGTTTACTTTTTTTTCTTGCATTGATAATATGTTGCGACTACTTTTCTTTTGTACTGTGACTAGTATTATCCATGTTGATGATTTCATTACCAATTTCTTATTGGTCAAATTAAGAACGAGTCACCCCATTTGCTCGAAAATTGCTGTTAATTAATTCAAATCAAACTATTTTCTACGTGACATTCTTTCGATGTATTAAGATAAATAAACACTCGATAATGCTGGATATGCTTAACTGTACTTTAGGAGCGAGGGAAGTTCTGTTGAAACAACTTTCGACCAATTTTTTCAGATGCGGTTTGGTGCCGTTGTTGTTTTTCTCGGCGCGAAATTTATTAGCCAGAAGAGTATGTAACATTTGCAAAGCAAGTCTCAGTAGATACAGGCCCATAATTAAAAAAAAAACTTTTTATGTATAGTTTTGGAAATTTCATTCTACCCTCTAAAATTTTATTGACAATAACGAGACGGACAGTAGCACAATAGTAAGACAGCTTAAAGTTGTCGCGTGCCGGTAATCCTCAGATGTTAGAAAGCACAATAATCTAGGTCCGCATAGGGACCATCATTACTCACGAAGGAAAATGACCATAATTTTATGAGTACAACTGCTAAATGTTCTCCTACAATTTCGGGTGAACTGGTGTGAGCCGTAAATATTTCTTACCATTTTACAACTATCAGTCTCGTTATTGTCAATAAAATTTTATAGGGTAGAATGAAATTTCGAAAACTATAACAAATGCGTTTTTTCAAATAAATATCTGGAAAAAATCTATTTGAGGGCAAAAATTTAATGACATAAAACAAGCAAAATCAAAACTTCGACACCCGATTTTACAAAAGTTGGTCTCTATATTATTAAAAACATATACAGTCAAAGATACAGTCATTAAATATAGCATTAAAATTTGTTACCTATATTTGTGAATGTCTTGCGTAGGGTCATTATATTGATTAGTTCCTTATTAAAGGCCCAATCCGAGAAACATGCGCATATCACTGCCGAAATGGTCATTCCAATGGAAGGAAGTGCTGCCAATATATCATCTCTTCCTAATTGATCATGAAAAATATTCTGCCGATATTGTTTCACCTCCGTTAAGGAAAGATTCAAAATCAAAATATGGCCTACCATGCCGATGATAAAAATCCAGACATCCAGTGTCTTCAATATACGCATTACTGGGACAGTTTTTTTGTCGTGGTGTACAAGGTGCCCTAGTTAAAAAAGACAAATTTTATTCGAAATGTTTTACACATGGTACGATTCTTACTCATTTGTCTAGCCAAGTAAAATTTTTCCTTGAAAGTAATTAACCGAGAATGATCTGGAGTCGAAGCAGCAACAAGAAGCCAGATTACACCCAAGACTAGACCTAAAGATCCATAAATGTAGAAAGGAACAGTCCAGTCATTTGTTCTAACAATTAGAACTGTTGTTACAAAATTGTGCACCGTTGAGCCTATCGTATGCCCAAGTGTTGCTATGGTGACCAGCCTCGCCCTTTCCCCCAACGGCGCCCAGTGGGAGGAGATAGAGATGCAAGCAGGAATATCTAATCCTTCGACAAAAGCCGCAATTCCTTTGACTATCCCAATCACCCACAAATTACCATTTGTGGCAAAAACTAATGCAGGCTGCACTAGAGTTACCAAGGAACAAACTATTATAGAACAAGTGACAATATGTTTTCCGCCGTATCTGTCGGACATGTATCCCCCTATAGGTTGTGTAATAATTTGAGAATAATACGAAAAAATGGCCACTTTGTTGAAGTCTGCGGGCTGCCAGTTATATGGTATTGGTCCTCGTTTGTCCTGAAAGACAGTTTTAGATCTTGGAAAACATATTACTTCAGTACCTGGTATATATACATATCCCCTTCTGGAAGCGGACACTCTGGAGTTTCATTGGAGGCGTTTTTAATGTTGTGCAAACGACTCTGTAGTAGTAACTTCATAGCAGTTGGAAAAAGGTACCGACTAGCGTATTTTATAATCTGTATTAGGCAGATACAAACACAGATCGCCACGCGGTGACGAATAAAAAACTCTACATTAGGGTAAGTAGACAACGTCCATTTGGTACTTACTTTTTTTTAAATTACTGATAGTTTGTCTGGAACTTTGTTTCATTTTTGTAAATTGATCTGTCAAAAAATATAGTCTGTCAAGTAGACATCGATTTTGTTTCCAGCGAAATAGTTATATCGCTTGTAACTTGTACTGTAACTTGTAATTATCTCATGATGTTATAATGTAGAAATAGTTATTTTCCTAACAAGTACGGGAAGTCAACGATTCCGAAAAGAGTGCAGGTGTTACCGCAACGAGCGTAGCACGAGTTTCGGAAACTCACTTTCCGCGCCGTTAGGAACAACGTTTTTGCTAACGGCATTTTTCAGGTCTTTCAGCGATTAAGATTTTCGTCAGGATATTTATAAATTGCAGCACATTCGAAAATCTATCGTCTGACCGTTGAGTAGTCAAGATATTGCGAACGCAATTGTTTAAACACGAACAAGTTTTTCGCAAGATATTTGTCAATAATACCTAATCGTATTGCGTTCTGTGTGTTCCGCTGAAGATGGAAAAACAAAGATTCCTCTAGCGGTTCTATTCCTTCGGATATAATTGCTGAAGCAGATACTGCAATTAAAGACTTAATACGCACAAAATGCAAGAATCGATATGAGACTGCAAACTGCTTATGAGGAATTTTGGGAATGGTGCAATGAGAACCAAGTAAAGAAAGTTTTAGAAGTAGTTGTATTGACCTATTTTGGTAAAATTTTACAAAAGGCACTTCTCGATTGCGCACAAACTATTTGCACACAACTCTTCTACAGCACCCCCTGATCACGTTCTTCACCTTCAAATGTTGTGCAAATGCTTACTTTTGGCACAAAAAATTTGTTAAATTTCCCATTTGTACACTCTTTAATGGAAGCCGTTTCCAACATAACCTAACTTTTGATAGTCACCAACACGCGTAGGTGTAATGTCAGGTTTTTAGTGGAGGCAGGGCGCTTCGTGCCCTGCACCCCATTACGAACATACGCCTAAATGTGTAACTTCTTGCTCCTTAGATCATTTAGTTATTGAAATTCGTACGAGTTCAATTGTGTGTGTGTAGTTGGTTGCCTACATTTGGCGCAACTAATAGGGTGCAAACCACAGGGTGAACACTAAATATTTTTTTTCTGACACAAGGAAGCATTTGCACAACTTTTGAAGGCGAGGAACGTGATCGGGGGGTGATGAAGAAGAATTTTGCGCAAACAATTTGTGGGAAAATGAGAAGTGCCTTTTGTAAAATTTCACCTTTAATATAAATAGTTCTAATTGTTAATCAATAAATCTTTGAAATTTACTTACATTTTACTTCCCCGCACTAGTGCGGAAAAGTATCACTTTCCGCACGGGGTACATGCCGTTAGTAAAATGAAATTCCTAGGAAATGGATAAAGGGTGTTATTTCAAACTTTCTTCTGTCCAACTGAGAAAGTACTTCATGAAATAGGAACCTTGTTTGCAGGACAAATTCTTGAAGTTTTGGAAACCTTTTTCTCAATTATTTCTAAGCAATGAACGTTTTCTAGTCGTTAACTTTGGCGAAAAGCACCATGTTGCATTTTTTAGCCGTCTTGTTGGAATTCATTTCCTATGACATATTTACTTAATATTTTTCAATGATGGTTGATTTATTCCCAAAGAGTTTTAGCTTAACCGTTAATATTTACTGCGCTTAAAAAAATTAGTCTGTGGGTGTCGTTGGTGATTTTAGAAATAGCGACGGTTATGGTTTTCAGATTTTTATTAGTTGCGTACGGTTTGAGAGTACTAGGGAGAAGTGTTTAGAAGGGTGTTTGAATGGTTGACAGGTATGTTCGGTTTTGGAGGGGTGGAAGCCGGTAAAGAAAGAGTTTAGAAAATTCTCGAAACTGGAAGAGAAAGTATGAGCATGGGGCAGGTAGACGAAAGATAGGACGTATTTCCATTTGTACAAAGATTATGAATGCGTTCAGGTAGAACATGTGATTTTATGGGAACGGTTGTTCCTACAAGTCGAAGGTTATTTCAACAGAACTACTCTTGCCCCGTAAGTACAGTTCAACAAAACCCGCTTCTTCAAAAATTTTACAATTTGGTTTTGTTACATTTTATCTGCGATAACCTCTGTGCATAAAGAAAAATAGGTAATAGCAGTAATAGTGTAAAAAAGAAAAAGAAAGGCGCGATTATTTTAGTATTCCAACCCCGAGGTCGACACCTTTACTCGCTCCGCCAAAATGGGTCAGAAGTACCATCCTAGCGACATAAAACAATTCTTTTCATAAAAGTTACCAACATTTATGCACGAAAAAGGCGAATAAATCCATATCTATTTCGTTTGCTACTCCACTCCCCAACTAATCCTCCAGTGACGAGTTTAAAAAAAATATATTTAACCAAAAACATCTTTATTAGTTATTCTCATACTCTTATTTACTACCGCAATCATAATTTAAAAAACTGTATGCAAATAATTGATATTTCTGAATACTGTTACGAAGTAAACCCATACGCCGCCCCGATACGACGCCTACAGGCCGACGAGAACTTTCTGGTCTGTACGCCGATGATGACTCATCGTCAATGACGCGGCTGAGCGGCGTTCGGAAAGCCTGGAAGCGGAAGTAGCGATGGATATTCGAGAAAGACCTCGATCGCAGAAGTATTAGTTTGAATAGAGGCCATCTTCGGAAACGAGGATTATTGTTCAGTCAATCGAGTCCATGAGAGTACAGTCAAGTTGCGGCGGAATTATTTTTACATAATCGCTGTGTAATAATAATCAGTAGTGTAATTCAAGTTATTAAGAAATAAATTGTTGAGTTTTACCCACGTCGATTTTAATAGCCCGTACAACGTAACACTGGTGTCGGAAGTGACATCTGAAATTAATAACTGGTTTTACGACAATTTCCGGACAGTTTGGACAAGAATTCTGAAGATTTATGCCTATCGCGACTAGAATTCGGACTTCAGCAATAGAGGAAAAGATCATGGCTATGCTTACACAGATGGACGCAAGAAATGAAGAAGTAAAAGAGGAAATGGGCGCAAGAATGGAAAAAATGGATGCAAGAAACAAGGAAAAGAACGAGAAAATGGACACAAGAATGGAAAGAATGAACGAGATGAAAAAATGAATGCAACAATAGAAGAAATGAACGAAACAATGGACGCAAGAGATGAGAAAATTAATGAATGGAAACAATGGACCCAAAAATTGACAAGCAAAAAGATGACATAATCACCAGCCTAACTGAAAAATTCCAAATAGACGTACAAGTAAACAAGAATGAAATAGAAGAAATTAAAGAACAATTGAAAGTTATAGAAAATATTGTCGGACGAAATATTATCTCAATGGACGAAAAAGTAAAAGAAGAAGTCGAGCATGAGTCAAAAACTGAGTTAGTGAAATCAGTGTAGGAATGCGTGGAAGATCGAATGAAAACTATAGAAGATCAAATGAAGAGATTTGAAAAGACAATAAAAATGCAGCAACCACTGGTTCATGTTATGTGACGTCGGCCCCCAGAACGATTCAACCACCTACTTATGATGGTCAGACACCTTGGTCATCCTACAAAAAGTAGTTCGAAGCAGGAGCGACGACAAACCTCTGGGAAGAAGAACAAAGAGCTACAGCTTTGGTGATAGCGTTGCGGGGCGCAGCGCTAGAGACACTCCAAACCCCTAACTGCTGCTCTGGAACTTCGATTTGGGGATGAACATCTGAGACAGGTTTTTGCAGTCCAAGTGAAGAGAAGAACCTAGAAAGTTGGAGAGTCCCTTCAAGAATTTGAAGCAGATGGCAAAAGACTGTTACGTTTTGCATACTCCGACGCACCACCCACTTTCCCGACAGAAACCTCCGTAAATGGCATTCGCGACGTTGAAATTAAGAAGGGTCTACAACTATCAAGGTATCAGAAATCATCTGAGGCATTGATTCGTGCGCTGGAAGTGGAGGCGACGCACAATTCTTTAAGAACCTGCTACAAAGTCGGAGTGGCAGATCTAGAGATGGAAGAAAACGACGGGATAAAAATGATACTGGAAAGGCTGCCATAACAAATGGATGGTGTATCTCAAGGATTAGAGAATGGTAACCTCGTAAAAAAGAGCCTAGAATGCTAGAGGTGTGGACGCGAGGGACATCTTAAACGCGATTGTCGCGCTCGATCACCAGCTTCGAGGAGAAACACACAACAGAGATCTCCTCAACGGAATATGTAGGAAAACTAAAAACAGCCACTATTTTGGGGGATGTACTGGCTGGTATGAAAAAGGCCTCCAAGGAAGTGAAGATTGGAAGTTTCATCAGAGGCAGTAGTCGAACTATACCGGGGAATATTAATAGAACTTCCGCAGCAATCACGATCGATACTGGCGCTGAGGTATAAATTATACGTCGAGGACTCGTGAGAGCTAAAGACCTAGCGACTTCATCCGAAACAAAAAAATCCAAGACAGTGACTGGGGAGTCGGCGCCAATCATGGACCAAGCAGAAATAAAAATCTTCATTGGTCAGCTGAAGATAAGACATCGCGCTTTCATGGCTGACATCAAAGGTGACTTCATTTTGGGAATCGATCTGATTAGCCGCAATGGATTGGCGGTTCGATCCAGTGGAGAAAGTCCTACGTCTTGGCAATGAAGAGTTCAACCTGAATCAGCGTTGCACTAAATCGAAACCTGAGACTAATCGCGTGCCAAAATGTAAAAGTCAGAGGGAATGCAAAAACGATTGTTCCAGTTAGAGCAGAAATCAAACCCGAATTTGCTCTCGGCATTATTGAACCACCGCACACCCCCAAGAAGAATCTCATGATACCTAGTGCTTTAATCAATACCGAGAATGACATACCTGTACGCGTCGCAAATGTTTTTCCCAAGGTTCTTGCCGTCTGTGTACCAGTCACGAAGATAGTTCATCATAACGAAAGTCTTTTTGGTCTTCGCGTGTAGTATTAGTCACCAAAAAGGACGGGTCGACACGATTCTGCGTAGACTGCAGGAAACTGAACGAGGTAACAAAGAAGGAGAGTCACCAGCTTCCACGAATTGACGACACGCTCACAACATTATCAGGATCCGCCTGGTTTTCCACGTTGGATC